AATGGACAATATATGATGGTATATCAATATGCCAATAAAGGAAATCTTCATGAATTTTTAACTAAATACTTTAGAGACCTTGTATGGCATAACAAATTAGAGCAGCTTGCGTATATATCTTATGATTTATCTCGAATTCATAAAGCAAATTTTATTCATAATGATTTTCACAGTGGTAATATTTTACTAAACCAAAATATTGATGGAAATATAAAATCATACATTACGGATCTTGGATTATCTAGAAAACGAGATGTAGATGTTTCTGAAGAAGACGTTTATGGAGTCATGCCATATGTAGCACCTGAGATTCTTATAGGTCAGCAGCACACACAAGAGGCAGATATTTATAGTTTGGGTGTTATAATGGCAGAAGTATCAACCGGAAAAAGGCCTTATGATGGACATGATTTTGATACTAAGCTTGTAATAAAAATTTGCAAAGGATCACTACGCCCAGAATTTGCTGAAGGAACACCAGATTGCTACATTGAATTAGCTAAACAATGCATGGATTCAAACCCACAAAATCGGCCTACTGCTGAACAGGTTTATTCAAAAATTAATAAATGGAAAATAATTTTAGAATCAGAAAAAAATTTAACAGATGAAGAAGTCAATATAAAAAAGAAATTTAATGATGCTGATAGTATAATAAAAGAAATATCAATGAAATCGCTAAAATCTTTATCAGTGAATCAATATAAATATTATAGCAAACGTATTGATGTACAAAATATAACAAATAGCCTTAAAGGTACTAACAGGACTGAAATTACTTTTACATTGCCTATATGTATACAACTAATGATGATATTAATTTATTGTTTTATTAGAGTTTTATTCTGGTTCAACGGTTGTTTCCTTAACTAGCGATTTATCACGTTAGTATAAGTTGCAATATTCTATTGTTTTATTTTTTTTACTAATACTATTTTTTTTATATTTAGAATCAGCCCAAATGCAAACGCCAAAGTCCGAATATTCTAACTTTTCTTCAAATGAAGAAAAATTACCAAAGAACTTTGAAGGTATCAAAGTGATGAATTTACTTTACATTACTTAAGCGTTTGCTGATTTGCAATTATGCATAATATTAATTTATTGTTTTATTAGGATCTAGTCAATCTAGTCAACGTAGTCAGTCTTATACAGGTTCAACGCTTGTACTCTCAACTAACGATTTATCACGTTAGTATATTTTGTATAATCTGCAATATTTGATTTTTTTTTTTTTAAAAAAAAAAAAAACTTTTACAAATGTTATTTTTTAAATTTAGAATTGATCCCAATGCCAAAGTCAGAGCATTTGAAATTTTCTTCAGATGAAGAAAAATCAAGAACCTTAAAGGTATAAACAAGACTGAATTACTTTACACTTGTATAATTTGCAATATTTGTTTAAAAAAATATTTTTTACTAATATTATTTTTTAAAATTTAGAATTAATCCCAACTTCAGAATATTTTAAAGTTTCTTCAGATGAAGAAAAATCACTTGTCAAGAGATCAATAGACCAACACTCCATGTTTGCATTATTTCTCAATTTAATTCACTTTAAATTGTTAAAATTTGTAAATTTAAAAATTATATATACCATTTCACAATTGATAAAAACTTATTAGTAGTGTAATTTATGGTATATAATAAGTGTACAGTATTTGTGCGTAATAGCGGCCGGAGAGTTTTTTTGAGCTATGGCCCGAATTAAGCTTAATTTAGGTCGAAATTCGAAATTACATCCCTGCGCGTTATTATGCGAAATACGTATGCTTTATTACATAAATTTCAAATATTTTTAAAACCTATTCACATTGTTTTGTTGATTTTTTTTTTTTTTTGGTACTAAAATTACTATATTGGGAAGTTTATTTTATTTGTAAATTTGTTTATTTAAATAAAGACTTAAAAATGTTCACAGTGAGAACATAAAAATTCACACACTGGTTAGTAATTTGGCCTGAATTCTTGCTTATTTTTATAAATCCATCATAATAATGTATCTCCTGCGAAAAATAATATCTTTGCAAAAAGACAAAGCTGTGAAAAAATTATCAACCACAATAAAAAATGAAGTATTATTGCTCGATCAGGTGAATTTATTTACACTTCCAGGCTTTATATCATACATGTTTGATATCAGACTTTAAAGAAAATTTGCATTCTAAATTACCATTTGCATTTAATATAAATTATGGCAGTATTTTCACTGAACGTTTGGAATCTAGGGTTGGGCGTGGAAATTTTTTGGCATGCTTAAAAAGTGCAAGACTTTACTCGAGGCATGTCCTATGTACATATTTATATATATATTTTTTTTGAAATAATCGCTCTACAGTTGATAGATAACCGTAGCTATGTTTAGAAGTAAGTTGATAAATGAATTAATGATATTAAATAGTTCAAGCAAACTCTATTCATATAAATTAAGACGTAAACTTACAAATAGTGATTAAGGTCAAGGGTTTAAATCAATAAACTAACATGATTACAGGTTAAGGTTTCTCTTTATTAACATTAACATAAATCAATACATTGGATTATCACCATCATTCTAACAACCGTTATTCCCTTCATATACTGAAACTACATCCTTATATATCTTTAATTCGTATGGGTTTAATCCCTCGCTGAGGGTTATTAACCCTCGTTGAGGGTCATTACCCCTCGTTCAGGGTTTCAATCACCCAACTATGCCACAAACTATACCAAAATAAGAAGTACATAAAATGATATGACACCAACTAAAATAATAACTTGTGCATAACACCGGAACGGATTCAAAATAATCCGGATAACCGTATAAATATATCTATCGATATAGATTCTGTTTTTAATGGCGTCAAAACAGTTTCCTTGTAATATCTAAAAAAGGAAATTTGCTTTTTACGTTTTTTAATACTATATAGTATACAAGTTTATATGCATCTAGTTTATGAAGATAACATCTAATCAATTTAACATATACTCTAAACAGTATATGAACGCTCATTATATTTCTAATCGATTATTTTACAAATAGGCTAAAAGGATCCATTTAGGGCAACAAGCGGTGTCACCATCGGTTTTGGAGAACATCAATTTTGACTCCAATGGTGAACTGAAGAAAGTTGGTTTTTGGACAACATTTGGAATCAGGATGAAACTCAAAATTTCTACGATGATTGAAGCATTTATGATAAATGGGCATTTAGGCAGATAATTTATTAGAAGGGACGATTCATAAGAATTCTCTTTATTAGGAGAAGGGTTCAGAGAGAATCCATCTTCTCATCTAACATCGGGGGACTAACATTTGTATACATGTGTAAGTATCATTGAAGAGATATTGATGATATTCCCAATGACATTGTCCTCCAACAACAATATGTCCATCCGAACATTAATCAAGTAATTACAATAATAAATGTCTAAATCTAGTAATTAATACGTACATAGTATTAACTGCCAATTTAGGAAACCTATAAATTCCATAAGTACTGAAGTAACGAACAAAATACAAAATTTCCGATATGCCCCGTACGTTACCATAGATCTGCCAAAAAATTGTAACATATCAAGATCTTACTCATGTAAAAGTAAAATATCGGGATTACTGATACTTTACCGCTATATTAACCCATGCCTTATCTTACCATTAGTTACCCGATATACTACTAATATGCTACAGATATTTGGTACTTATCGGGAGTTTTGTATTCCGTTATTTATTTATTCGACCTGTGAACATTTTCTAAAATGTCCAAGACCCGATTTACACTGATGTTACAGCGGTAAAAAATATATTTACATGTATCTGTCCGATTTTCTAATGGTTAACTTTTTTTCGTACAATACGATACGTATAAAAGTATTTCGTGATGAAATTATCTAGTCCTTTTTACGATCATATACACAATCTTATAGTACAGTATTTATTACTTTGCTTACTCATATCACTAACGCACTCGCAATCATTACCACATACGTATTTTAACCACACGGAAAGAGGATTAGGAGATCATAATGCGCCACTTCTTATAGCTGACATTAAAACTTACGATGATGGAACAATTCTCGTTCATATTATACGAAATGAATCAACACAATCAGTTAATTGTTCAAAAATTGGTGGAATGAGTTTAGAACAGAAATTACGTATAAGGCTTATTTTTTCAAATGGAAGTGTTAAAGCGATTGATCCCAATTTAAATTTAGATCCTATAAATTATTGTTTACTCAATAACAATAATTCCGAATACAAAATTAACAAACTTAACAATATAATTACATATTTAAATGATACTAAAAATAATATATTGCATAATTTAGTAAATCCTATTACAATATATCCTTTACGAAAACCATTCATTCTAGTAACTTATGTTAAAACAAATGATTCTTCTAATCTTGCAACTTACAAAGAGTGCGGGGAAGTCATCGATTGGGATGGGATCAGTCGAAGGTATACCATTATTTTACTCCATATTTATTATTATTTTATAAAGATTATTAATAATCATTCTATAAATTGTTAGTAATATGTGTTTTGACTCTAGTTATGATGATAACTATAGTACTTGGATTAATAGTACAATACAGTTGAACACAAACAAGAAACTTGGATTTATTAGATTTGCACCTAATTCGATGTCGAATTATTTATGGCAGCAATATTCAATGTAATTATATTATTATTATTATTAACGGTATTAATTATAATTATTACACTGATAATTTAATATTATATCCATATAGTGATGGTCATGGAAATTTGATAAGTTTAACAATTTTATCAGTGCTAAACATCGGCATTACAGATTCTGATACACAATATTTTCTGATGTCGACTGTGTCCACTATTGATGGTGGTTATTTAGCGATTTTTAGATATACGCAAGAAAATAATAATAATTCGTTAGTTTCACATAGCGGGCTTTGCACGATGTTTATATTTTACAACCAAACATCGGATCATTCTCATGCAGTTAATATCTATCAAATACCACAACCTAATATAACAATTAACTCAGTTGATTGTGATGTATCTTATATATATATTACTTGTATAGTTTCCATATACAGCGATAATACAACATATATAGTACAAATTATCCTTCTTTCTTCAGGAAATATTGCTCAATTAGATTTAATAACTAATCAGACCCAGCAAGGTTTGAGAGCAAAAATAATGCCATTTGGTGGTTATATATTAGATGTCACAACTTATGACAATAATGATGATAATACTTATTGTTATATTTATATTTACAATGGTTTAAACAAAACTTTAAATTCATCGAATCATTTTCTTACAAATTACTTTAGTGCAAACACTATTACACAGAATAATACTTTTCTGCTCGCTTCACCCTCTACAAATGATAATAATTCTTGGTCTTTGCTCAATATTCCAATACTTAATTATTCTACTTTCAATGGTTGAGTATACTTATTTAATTATAACT